GTTTTTAGTTGACAATGTTAGGTATATGGGCCGTAACTTCTCAAAAGATGGTGTCAAACCAGACAGTGACAAAGTGGAAACTGTCTCTAGTGGGTTATGGAATAGAGAAAATCCCAAACAATTTACTGATTTGTTTGATGCACTGGCTGGGGGAGTAGTTAGTTGATTGCACGATTTCACAATGATTGCACGCTTAATTCATACAAGACAATTTTATTTTAAAATTCTTTGCTACACATATAACACTGCTTAGCTTTAAGAAATACCACAAACATTAAGAACACAATAACTACATATATCAGAAACAATGCTCCAAATGCACTTCCTTCCCAAACAATGCTATAAGAATGTGTTACAAAAACAACTACAATTACAACTAAAAGTTAAATTTGAATCAATACTGTTATTTTTCATAATATACTTACAATCCTAGAATTCCGAGAAGCCAAATACCAAAATATGGTTTCATTCCTCAGTAGTACGATTTAATGGGTTGGCCTCAGTAGTACGGTTCAATAGGCTGGCCTCAGCAATACGATTCAATGAGCTGGGCTCACCAGTGATAGGACTACGTCCCCTTCCTTCAGTCCCTTTCGGGCGCTCCGCGGCTTCAGCGTGAACTAAGAGATTCGTGTTCACGGAGAGGCTTGATTAGGCGATCAATCTAATCAGACCTTATACTTGCGATTCTTCCTTCGTTGTTCTGCAAGTGAAGTCACCTCCAAATTGGGACAGTAAGTTACAGGTTTTTATTGAGTGAGCTGCCGTCATCGGGCTCCTCCTACTCAATTCATCATAACTCCCAAATTTGGGCTCGGATCTTACTCAACAGAAATTACCTTTGTTGAGCATTTTAAATTACTCTTGGGGAGACTTCTTCCATATCACTATAAATACCTTTTTTTTTACCAGTCTGGTTAAAAGGCCTTAGGCTTTGATGTCTCGGCAAGAGTTAAGACTTTAAGCAAAGTCAGGACCTTCTGCATGTAGACCAAAACAATGGCCTAGATAAGAAGATGAATCTTGTCTTCTTCCTGAACTGGCTAATGGGCAACTATTACAAACATTCAAACTATTACATTCAATATGACAGAAATCATCAACAGGATGCCCCCTCCCACAGGCAGAAAGGGTTTTCAGAGACTCCTCGGAGCCATTCAGTACTCAGTGCAATACATCCCACATGTGTCCAGCCTGGGGGCCCTGCTGAGAGCACTTCTTAGGAACAGTGTTATCTGGCAATGGGGACTCAAGCATCAGAAAGCCCTGGATAAGCTCAAGCAAACCATCACAATGGCGCCTGTGCTCAGGTACTTCAACCCAGCAGAGCAGCTGGAGATGCAAGCTGATATGTCCAAAGATGGCTTAGGAGCATGTCTGTTTCAGCAGAAGTATCCAATTGCACATGCTTCAAGGACTATAACACAATCCGAGAGAAATTATACTCAGATTGAAAAAGAACTTCTGGCAATTTGTCTTCACCATGACGAAGTTCCACCAATATGTGTATGGCACCCAGGCACGGGACCGGTCAGACCACAAACCCCTGGAAGTGATTTTTGCGAAGCTCAAAGGAAAGACTCCAGCATGGCTGCAGAGGATACTGTTGCTGCTCCAAAAATATGACATCCAGATTCTCTGTACCAAAGGCAAAGACGTGGCTGACACACTTTCTAGAGCCACAAGGCTTGCTCCTCTCCCTGGACCTGATCTTTTCCACTCAGAAAAGGTCACAGTCAGACTGAAAAGGAGCCACTCAGTGGCCAGCAGTTACAGGAGTTACAGGAGCACACGAAGGCTGACAGGGAACTACAAGTCCTTAGAGCCCAGCATCTTAATGGATGGCCGAGCAGGCAAAAACAAGTCAAACCTAAACTAAAGCCCTACTGGCCTCTCAAAGACCAAAACTGGATTCAGGATTATTTGCTTATGATTGGGCCAAAAATAATCATTCCACGCAGTGCAAGGACCAACATGTTGACATTGCTTCACTCACCCCGTCAAGGCATACAAAGGTCAAAAGCGCGAGCTCGACAAATCACGTATTGGCCTCAGATGAATGCCCACATCAAGCAATGGATTGCAAATTGTGCACCTTGTTAAGCGCTCCAACACAGTACTCAGAAAGAACCCATGATCTCACGTGGGATCCCAGACCTGCCTTGGTTAAAACTGGCAGTGGACATTTTTGACCTACGGGGAAAGTCTTATTTGATAATAGTGGACTATTACTCCAATTACCCTGAAGTTTTGCACCTGCCCAACAAGACAGCCAGCATGGTAAAAGCCAAAATGAAGTCTGTATATGCTTGCCATGGCATATCTAAAGAAATTGTTTGTGATCACGTGCCATTTGCAAGTCACACGATGAAACAATTTGCGACTGAGTGTGGCATAACCATCACCCATTCTAGTCCAGGGCATTGGCGACGCACAGGGGATGCATGCGGGTGCACGTGCACCCCCTACGAAAAGGAGCCCCTGACACTGTCGGCGGTGCCTGTGGGTGGTCACCACTCACCACCCCCTCCCCTCCCCTGCTGCTGACATGGCCGGTGACGTCTGCGGGCAGTCCACAATTGCCACTGGCTGCTGCTGCTGGCGGTGTCTGCAGGTGGTCGCTGACCACTGGTCGGCAGTTGCCACCCCTTTCCCCCCCGCCCCAACTGTGCTGTGGCAGCTTCCCTCTTGCCTCTGCCATGCTCCTGCTGATGACAGTGCTGCCACCGCCTGCAGGAGCTCACCATGCCCCATCCCCAGCCTCCAGGGGCATGTAGCATTCGTGTTCTTCAGTGTCTGATTTACTCAGCAGTGCCCCAGCTGGGTGGATGGGGAGGGTCTGGGGCAGAAGCTGAAGAGGCTCTGGGGTGGAGCCCCTGCCAATCCACAACCCTGGCATCTGCCCCACTGTGTGGCCACTAGATCCGGGCTCGCCCCAGGTTGCAGCTGCCAAGGTCTCATCATGAGGCTCTTGCTGCTTTGAGGCACTCAACAGCTTTGGGGCCTTGAGCTCAGTAGTGAAGTGGCCAGCCTGTGCCCTGAACCCCCAGCACCAAAGCTGGCCCACATCTGCCCTGCCCTGCCCTGCTCTTCCTCGCAACCCCACAGCTGGCTAGCCTCCTGCCCTGCCCTGCCCTGCCCTGCCCCTGCCAGAAGCTTGCCAGCCCCCTGCCCTGAGCCCCCCAGGAAATCACCCTGCAGCCAGGCAAGGCCCCCAGGCCAGACCAGCTCAGCCACAAACCATATCTTGCACTACTGGCCTCCTAAGACTACGAGGTCCATCTTGTTCACCACTTCCAAGTGAGCTGTGGGCACGCCTCCATTTCACTTGGGCAAGGACAGAAGACTGGAGGTGTTGAAGAAGAGGGTGGACAGCCACTGCTCAGGGATGGTCTAGGTGTAGTGATGCCTACATATTTCAGGGTGTTTTTAAGCCTCCCTCATAGGGACTGGGTGATGGCTACAGCTAAGCCTGGGGACTTCAACTACGGTGTGCTGACTCTCTTGCTAGGAGCAAGGCTGGAGATTCCTGGCTAGAGGATCTTGTCCCTCTGCTCAGGGTCAGACCTGGGGTCAGGAAGGCATTTTACCCCATGGTCAGATTGCCATGGGCTGTGGGGGTTTGCCTTCCTCTGTAGTGGGGGTGTGATACTATTTCATAGAAGCAGGACATTGGCTGCTGCGGTGCCCCTGCTTTCCCTGTGGCAGGCTAGAGTGTTAGGTTTATGTTGTGTCAGGGTTGATGGTGGAGTTTAGATCAGGGGTGGGCAGCTATTTTGGCTGGAGGGCCACTTAACGAGTTTGGTTGCGCTGTCGACGGCCGTACACATAAAATCTTTCAGAAGACATCATTTTAACAAATGACACCTGGAGCAGGGGGGCTCTGGGTTGGGTGATGTGAGTCCTGCCCTGTGCCAGGGTATGTAGGGGCTCAGCAGACAGGGCACTGCAGGGTGCTGGGTGTGGGGAGGGAAGCCACATGCTCCCTACATGGTCCATGGGAGGAGGTGACAGGTGTGCTCCTTGCCTGCAGGTGCTGCGCGGGTGGGACTCATCATGGACTCCATCCTGGGGGCCCTGCTCCTCCTGATCCCATTCATTGTGCCCATCTGAGACTTGCTGCAGGGTGACTGATGGAGTTCTGCTGGCGGGAGATGCCTGGGACAGTAGGTAATGCCCGTGTGGCAGGAGGGTGCAGGGTCCCCATGTCAGTTCAGCACAGGGAGGGGGTGGCCTCCTTTGCTGTGGGAGATCTGTCTTCTATCTGCTTGGGGGCTGCTGAGCATGTTTGAACCAGCTCCTCCAGCACCTTGTTTAGGAGGGTTCAGACAGGACTGACCCTGCCCTGAGCAGTGTCTATACTAGATGAGCCCTCCTGAGGGCCCTACCAGTCCGGCTCTGCTAGGATTCTCTGATCTGCATGGGGTCCCACCCCAGCCTGCTGCAGACCCTGAAACTCCATGCCCACGACTCCTTGTGCCCACCTGAGCCTGAGTCAGTGTCTGCCCATGGAGGGAAGAAGGACCCACTTAGTGTTAATGGTTTAGGGCAGAATCAGATCATTCTTGGACACCTGAGGCCCATGAGAGGCCTTTTGTAGTTGGGGGAGGGTAGGAGAGGAGGCAGGATGTGGCCCAGGGTCCCTGCCCAACTGCCATGTACAGGGCCTGACACAAGCTGCTTTGTGATGGAGCTTGTATGTCACTCCATCGCCACGGAGACCAGGGATGGGCAGGAAATAAATTCTAGCCCCCCGTGCTTTCTGGTCAGTCTCAGCGCAACTTGAAAGACTCAGCTAAGGTGTAGGGAGAGGTTTTGTTTGAGAGAGTTTAGCGTTTGGAGATTAGATTAGATAGATTAGATTAGATAGATTAGGTTGTAGAGAGTCTAGAGATACTAAAGTAGATAGTAGTTAGGAAAGAAGATATAAGGAGGACGTAAACTTTAGATAGATAGAGACAGCGTAGTAGAGTAGATAGAATAAGTAATAGATCTTAGCGATGGTAGGTAGAGAAGAGCTCAGGTCCCCGGGGCCTCGTGGTCTCAGCACTTGGCAGCTGGCTCCCATCACTCTCCCATTTCCGACCAGCTGCTCTGGCCCAGGCAGCAGGGAGAGACAGCTGAGAGAGCGCCCAGTGCGGGTAAGGAGCCAGCAACACCTTGGGGTTTTGCTAGGAGGTGTGAGGCTGGCATGGGAGTTCCTGCTGGCATGGGGGTACTGTGTGCTTGTGCTGCTGGCCGGGGCTGCTCTTTCCCCACTCCCTGCCCTCTTAGCTCTTCAGCCAAAGCTCTCTGGCCCAGCTGAGCGGCGCTTCACACCATGAGGCCTCCTGAGCTTTGTGGCCATGGCTGTGGTCCGTGGTTGGGCCGTGAACTGCCAGAGTCCTCCCCGGGGCCCTCTGTGTACCCAGGCACGGGCTGAGCAGAGCTCTCCTGGTAGCAGAGATGCTGTTGGCTGTTGGTGGGTGGGAGGTCTGGGAACCAGGTGCTGGGTCAGTGCAAGCTTGGACAGGCCTGAAAGTTTCCCTGTGGGTGCAGGGATTGGATTGCAGGCTGCTGGAGGAAAGGGGTGGCAAGGGGGCTTCTGCTGAGCAGCTCTTCTCGTCCCCCAGCTGCCGCAGCTGCAGATACCAGGAGGATCTGGGGTGCAGGTGACCCCACAGCCTCCTCCTGGCAGACTGAGGCAAAGCACCAGACCAGTCTGGGTGCGGCCCCCCCTGCTGGTGTACCCACCGTGCCAACAGGAAGAGGGGGAAGACGTGGGGACCAGTGATGTGCGCAGGGGCAAGAGCCAGGTGAGTGGCTGTGAGGGTGCTGGCAGAGCTTTGCCCTGAGCCTTGGACATGCAGGTGATAACTTGCTGGGCCCTCCCTGCCCCTGCCTGTCCCCTGACCCGGCATGCACTCCCTAACCAAAGCCTCACACTGCAGTCACGGGAGGAGACAGCACCCTGTGCCCTGCCGTGTACGAACACCTGCCCTGGCCATGGGGACCAATCCAGTCCTGGCCCAGCCTTCCCTGTGCCCTTCCCTGGCCAAGGAGTCTGAAATCCTCTCCCCAAAGAGGCCCGCATCACCAGGTGCCCTGAGAGGCCAGGCTGGGACTCCTCTGCCTCTGAGTATCTCCCACTACTAGGACCTCTGGTATCTGAGGGGAAAAGGAGGCATGGACTATGGAGGGCTTTGCCCACAAGCCCTGGGTTTGTACAGACGTATGTGCTTGAGGGGTGGTAGCATGGGCATGCCCATGTGCTCTGGGGAGGCATCTAGAGGTGCAGAGGTTTCCATCTCGGGGGATGCATGTGTCCAGTGGGGTGGAGTGTGTACATATACGTGTGAGCTCATGCTGGTGTGTGCATACTTGTGAGGCCATGTCCCCAGCAGGCACTCACTGCTCCTCCTACCAACTCCCCCATTCTTTGCTTCTACAGCCGCTCCACACCGAGACCCTACGGCATAGACAGAAGCTGCCCAGCCTGGTCGTGCAGGGAGTGGTAGGTCCCCTGACTGGCAGTGCCCCAGAGCAGGAGTGGGCCAAATCCAGGGGCTAGGGCACTGGGTGGGGCCCCTGCCAGGCCTCCATTATGGGTCCCCAGATGTGAGGGGCTCAGACCCTAGTGTCAGTGGACGGCACTGCTGGCATGGTGACTATTGCCTCTCCTCTCCTAGGGCCTGGACAGAAGCCCTAAGAGCAGGGTCAAGGCGGAGGCTCCAGGGAAGAGAGTTGTGGCCCAGAAGGAACCAGCGCCCTGCACAGCCAAGCTGGGTGTGGGCAGAATGAGAGATTGGCCGCACCCTGGACTGAAGCCCGTTGCACCCCAATGTGGAATTAAAAAAAAATAAATGTCTTAAACTTTGATCATATGAGTTATAAGATGACATAACTGCTTTGTAGAAAATTGCTGGCTCTGCATAGTAGAGAAGATAAGGGAAAGTGTTTGTCTTTTGTAATTCCTCTGCAACTGCTTCGCTCACCGCGGCCTTAAAGATAGCAGAAAAAAAGTATGTACAAACTCTAATTTCCAGGGGCAAGAAGGGAGTGTTGGTTCTCGCTTTGTGAACTAACCTTGTCTCCCCCATAATTCCCATCCTGATAACAGCAAAGAAGTAATGAACTAGTGTTTGTAGCTGCTTTTTCTAGCAAACTCCACTATATAATCGTGTGAGTTGTAGCGACTGTTAAAAAATATATAAGCCAAGTGAAAAGTTTTGAGGAGCTGCAGGCGCATATCGCTTACCACCAGGCGGGCGGAACGGGTGAGAGATTTGGCAGCGGACGCCTTTCGCTAAAGGGAGAAGAGGGAGCCTCCGAAGACGGAGCCCCAAGAGAGAGAGAAGTGTATTTGCTCCCTGCGGCGTTCGGGTGTATAATGAGCGACGAGCGGGTCCTGTTCAGGCCCCTCGATACTGTGTCCCTCGCCAGAGTCAACCCGGCGGGCACAGTGAACCTGACCCTCACCCAGGAGTGTGCCCGATGCCTACGATATGCTTGGGAGAGTGAAGAGCCGGTGCCGATCGACCGGTTCCCTCCCCTCATGGCGTCTAGATTAAGGGGTCGCGAGCTTCCATCCGAGCTCCGCGAAGATCTGGAGACGGAGGGACGACCCGTGGATGAGAGGGTGGCCCTACGGTACGACAAGGGGGGAGAATTGAGTGCAACATTCCGTACAATTGCTGATTTAATGAACAAGAATTTAAGTTTAAAGGCCCAGCTGCGTATGGCTGTTCAGGCGGTCAAAGAAGCGGCTGAGAGAAGGGATCCTGAAACGCCAGCCCAAGATGGCGCCGAGCAAGAGGGAGACCGCATGGAAGAACCAGAAAAGAAGGGTAGAGCTTCGGAGGAACCCACGAGAGTTTGGCTGGCGACCCCGCCCACTGATGCAGCGTCGTCTCCGGCAACCCCGCCTAGCGACGCAGTGATGGCTCTTCCGC